CTCCATAGCATACTACCACCAATATTTGCGGGTCTTCTGACTTGCTTAGGCCAGTAAAACACAGTAGCAAAAACTATATGAGTAAGCAGAGATTTGAGAGTGTTCGTACATTGTGGCTTGCACTTTTACTAGTAACAGAACTCTGTGATGGCTATCCACACAAGCACCTGTGAATTCACATGGAGAGCGATCCCAGTCATTCCAGAAAAGGCTATGGTGGATCAGCCAGAGCCAGGTAGTTACTGTCTGACCGCTGATACATAAGCGAAGTTAGCCAAGAGCAGGTGAGCCTGTCCCAGATAAAAAGACCCACTCAGCTGAGCCTAGCCCAAACTGCAATTCTGCACAACAATGAATTCAATAAATGACTGTTACTTTAAACCACAAGGAGCTATGATGGTTTAGTGGTTATGAGTCAGGCTGCTAATCTAAACGGCAGCAGTTCGAAACTACCAGCAGTTCTGCGGGAGGAAGATGAGGCTTTCTGTTCCCATGAAGATTTACAGCCTCAGAAACGCTATAAAAAGTTGCTGCTGTAAGTCAGAACTGACTCCACGGCATACCACCACCATCACTTTAAACCACTAAGCTTGGGGTGATGCTTTACAGAGCAATAGATAACATACACATCTACAGCTTTTTACAGTGTTTACAAAACATTTACTGTGTCAATGAAATATACATTAGCACCACTGTGAGGAAAATGTAGTCACATACCTATCTGTATTTGCACAATCATTACTCTATATTGTCTATAGATTATTCTTCTAACTATAAAATGAAAACAGCCAAAAGGACATTTCACAGAGGACAGATGGCAATGAACCTGAAATTTAATAATCTATATAAAAATTCAAAGTTGTAGTTGTTAGGTGCCATCGAGTTGGTACCAACTCATATCATACATAGGTATATCCTATTAACCCTATTTCTGGAGTCAAACCCAATCCCAGCTCATGTTAAAGCTCTGTTCTTAATCAACCTCTAAACCAGCTTCTCTCAACTTTGACACTATTGACATTTCGGACTAGATAATTTGCTGGCTATGGAATCCTGGTGTGGTGCTATAGGATAAGCACTAGACTGCTAACCACAAGGTTGGTGCTTCAAACCCACCAGCCACTCCTCAGAAACTCTATACAGTGTAGCTCAGTCGGAACCAAGTTGACAGCACTTAACAACAACAATAATTTGTTGTTTTGGGTTCTGTGCATTCTGGGATGTTTAGCTGCATCCCTGGCCTCTACATACTAGATGTCAGTAGCAGACACACACCACACCAAGTCGGTAAAATAAAAAATACTAAAAGTATACATTTTTTTAAATTAAATTTTCTAGAAAAAATAAGTGTAGGTTATCTTACTATGGCACCAGTTAACCATCTATTCAACCCTGATTGATGGCAATCCATGTGTCAGAATAGAACTGTGCTGCTTAAAGTTTCTACTAAATGTTACTTCTGATAAATTCGGAAAGTTTTAGAAAGGATCAATTTGAGTTCTTTATTTTTAATACAAAATTTCTTAAAAACTCTTTCCTAGTCAAGAAGAGTTTCTTACCTGTAGTCATCTAATTGTACCAGAAATCGAACGATATCATGATGAGCTTTCAGTACAATCAGTTCGGTGTAGGGATTCTGGGTTTGTTCTTCACCTATTGTATGTAAAGGAGATTTCTTGCATAGAGAAAAAAAGAGAGAGAGAGAGAAAGAAAATGAGGTATGATAAGATCATGTTGGCTATAACTACATAGTATACATTTAAGACCACAAGTCATAAAATCTTACATTCTAATAAAACAAAAAACTTGTTGCAGTAAACTCATTGTGTGATCCTATACGACAAGGTATAATTGTCCTATGGATTTTCCAAGACTCTAATTTTATTTGTTAATTTTTATTGTGAACTGGGTAAAGGGTTACAGAGCAGGTAAATTTTCCATTCAACAATTCATACATATTTTGTTTCACATCATTGATTATAATCCCCACAATGTAACATTATTTTATCCTACTTCCTCCCTGTGTTCCCTATTTCTATTCCTCCTTCTTTCCTAATCCTTCTGAGCTTTGTCCTTGGGAAAATACTGCCCCTTTGATCTCCAATGGTTGATTACAGTCAGATAGCATACCTCCCTAGTGTTCCCCTTATAAAAACCAAACTAAATCAACCCACAGCCAACAAGTTGATTCCCACTCACAGCTATCCTTCTGAGACTGTAAATCGTTCGGGGAGCAAACAGCCTCATCTTTCTCCCATGGAGGGGCTGCTGGACTTAAACAACCAACTACATGGTTAACAGTTCAACGCCTAATACACAACGCCACCAGGGTACCTTTATAGAAGCAAGTACATCTTTCTCTTGCAGAGCGGATGGTGGGTTCCAATTTCATACCTTTCAGTTAGCAGTTGAATGCTTAACCATTTCCCCACCAGGAGTCATGACCTAATGTTATTGTTGCTAATATCACATGACACAATTCTCTTATCACAAATCCACACATTTCAGTCTTTTCAAGTCATAAACACACAAAACTGCTGAATTCTATTGTATACAAATAAAACCAAAATAAAGGGTATGACTTAAAGTACATGGGCCAACCTAATATTTTAGAATGGATGTTTCTCAAAATAAAACTTGGCAGAAATAAAACTGCAGGTCAAAGGAATAAAGTGAAACAGACACTAAAACAAAAAACAGCACTCAGACCATCATACCAGGGAGCTTCAAAAAGTTCATGGAAAAGATAATGGACTTTTTCCATAAACTGTTTGAAGCCTTGTCATCTGCTGAATGAATAAAGGAAGACATAAAATCATTTAGAGTCAATAAATGTAATTCTAGATAACAATATTAATAAAGATATTTGTTAACATTTAAAGAGCATTATTTGGCAAGTCATATGCCAGACATTTTGCTAGTTAATAAGCATATCTTCTATAACTCACTCAAGAGTCCTAGTGTGGTGTAAGATAAGCACTAGACTGCTAGCCACAAAGTCAATAGTTCAAACCTACCAATAACTCCTCAGAAACCCTATACAGGGTCACTATGAGTCAGAAATGACTCGATGACACGCAGTAACAACATATACCTCAGTCAATAATTTCTTTGTAATTGTTGTTAGGTGCCATTGAGTCGGTAACGACTCATACCGTAGGTAGATCCTATTAACCCTATTTCTGGAGTCAAACCCAATCCCAGCTCATGTTAAAAACTTTGTTCTTAATCAACCTCTAAATCAGCGTTTCTCAACTTTGACACTATTGACATTTCGGACTAGATAATTTGCTGGCTATGGAATCCTGATGTGGTGCTATAGGATACGCACTAGACTGCTAACCACAAGGTTGGCGCTTCAAACCCACCAGCTACTCCTCAGAAACTCTACACAGTGTAGCTGAGTCGGAACCAAGTTGACAGCACTTAACAACAATAATTTGTTGTTTGGGGTTCTGTGCATTCTGGGATATTTAGCTGCATCCCTGGCCTCTACATACTAGATGTCAGTATCAGACACACACCACACTAAGTCAGTAAAATAAAAAATGTCTCCAGTTTTTACTAGAGCCTGGATCTTCCCAAGTTCTTGCAAATTAGGAAAAATTATAAATTTTGGTAATGTACAAATATATAGCTGTCATGTAAATGAAGCCCTTTTATACAACGAAAGATACAAATTACAAATATAAGTAGGTTCTAAAAAAAATTCACTACAAGCCAGTGATTTTGTTATGTCAACTGCGTCCCTTCTAGCAAAGGTTTTGATGAGAAAAACAAAAGTGAGAAATCTGAAAACTAGATAAAACTGTTTCCCCTAATTGAAAGCTCAAGGCAAGGTTGAACTGTACAGTGAAATTGTAAGATTGACCAAATCACCATGTCAGTACAGAATTCTCATAAATATACCATATGAATTATTTAAAGACTCAAAACTTTTCCATAATTGTAA